GACCGCATCGTTTCACCACCCCAGGTGAGGTCAAATCTTGAGGAAAACCGGTCTCTTGTCCCACCAATCTGTTTTGATATGATTCAGCATGTCATGTCTAACATCCTCGTCTCAGCGAGGAAGGTATAACAATCCGTCAGAAGAGCTTTGGCCCCAATAGAAACAACTACATCCTACTAAAAGCAGAGTGAACATGATCGATCCCCCGACAGCTACACTGTACTTGTATCAACGTGAGCCACCTCTTCGGGTGGACGGTAGATATGTCAAAATTGATTATATATATATGTGTACATACTGGTGACATACTGGGTCTGTTTCGCCATGTTGGAGTGCAAGCGGATTGTTCCAAGAGCCTAAACTCGACTATGTCAGCAACATGCAGACTTAGACCATTGCCCCTCTTGCAACAAGAGGGTCCAAGCAACATAGAAATAAAGTTCCTTAAGGTTGTAAGGCCCCCCTTCTGCAATTCCAGACTTGACCAAGTCACAACACAAAGAAACACAGAACATGATGGCGCCCTTTAGTAATGGGGCCTTATTCAAGGAGCCCTAGCACCTTTTTTCCAAACAGTGTGGTCACACTAGGGGTCTTACGGTCGCTTTGATCCAGGGTGCTCTCCGGTGTGTGCGGCCAATTCGATGCTGTTTACGGCAAATCCATGCCTCTCGAGATCTTCGAGGTGCATTTCCACTGCTGAGGCTCACACAAACTGTGGTGGGAGCTTTTCTCGACTGCGCTCTGGTTGTGGTGCCATGCACATTTTCGTGGCAGGTGCAGTACACCGTGAAGTTTGGACAGTGGCGTGATATTGAAATGTTTGATGATAGCAGTGTCGGGCACAAATTTGGAAAGGCGTTTAGGCTCAGAATTCGGGGGCGCATCACTTTGTGAACCACCACATGCAAATTGTGTGGCAGGTGCAGCACTTCGGTGGTGATTTTGTGGCGTGGCAAGCACAGCACAGCACCGCACTTTGTGATCCTCGATGCGCACAAATTCGTGGCAGGCGCGGCATGACTTGGTGAACTTCGAAGTGCAAAAAAGTGCTTTCATATTGTGTGTGCTCTCGCCTGTGTGCTCTCACACATCTGTGCTCGCATAGGGTTGTGCTGCTCTCATATGTGTGTAGTCGTGTGTGTCAACACCTCTCCAAGGAAGATGCACGGACGAATTAAACTGTAAGGAATTCCTGCACGATCAATGCAGGGGCGTACGGCTCGTCATACCCACCGTACCCAACGAAGCTACGGTATGACGAGGGAAGGGTGGACTGATCATCCACCTGTACCTGCTTTCTCACCAGTGATGATTTAAACAATATTGTTTCGGACTTATTCGCCTTGCCGTTCCCTTTCAGGGCTGTTTCCCAGGTCTCAGGCAGCGCTCTAAACCGGTATTGTAATCACTATAGAGTGGATTGCCTTAACTGATTTAGCTCTTGCGAGCATCAATCTAAGTGTATGTGCTCTACAGTGCGGAAGTTCGCTCATTTATGCTTATTCGACCTTGTCTTGTTCTACTGTTTGGGGTTGCTTGCTGGGATAATCACCAGGTCACATCTCCGGTCACCAAGGCGCCGTGTCGCGGAAGATCATGGGACACACCCGGCCGCCAAAGCGGTCTTCCAGCTTGGCAGAGAAGCTCGGTTGGAAGATCAGGTCCTAAGGGTTGGCCACGAAGCTCGATGGGGTCATGCAATACAGCAGTAAGAGAAAGAAACATACTTAAAAGAGGAAGGTCAGGCACCCTGCTTCATTTCTTGTGTCTTCATTATGTTCTGTTGGCAGGGGATATTGCTCAATATCCCGTATCGTTGTCTAAGTCTAAGGACGAACTCAAAAATCCCAATGTCTCGTAAAAGGCACATGAAACATAAAAGTCACACGAAGTAAGCGACTGTAATATAAAGAAAATGAAACAACTCCCCGGAACGTCTGCCGAAACGTCTTGTTAACGAAGAGGACATTTTTGAGGGTGGCCGATCGCTCTTGCAGGTCCCAACCACACTTTCAACATAGCTGAACGTGCTAGTATCCAACAACTGCGGCGGTGTACTTGTTGCTTTTGATGGAGGTGAGTGACTTCTGCAGCTTTTGTCCAAATTCCTGAAAATTCATAACCGCTCTTTACTAAATCGGACATTGCAAGTTCTTGGTGGAGGCTCAATCGGATCCCAACAATCCAGAGGAACCTGAAAGTAGTTCAAAGACTTCCGGAAGTCAGTCCCGCCCAAGATCCGCTTCAATATGAGAAAAAGGCCGGGGGGTAACAATGAAAGTACCACCAAACGTCATTGCTAAATTACCAAATAACTCCAATATACATCGTTCAAATCAAAAGTCCAAGGTCATGCCATCCTGGAGCCACCTTCACTTCCCTCGTCGTGCAGTGTCTTCTTCAGAACATGCTCAAAAGGTACTGAGCACACCCCCGAAACTCATGAGATCTCATGAGTACCTTCTAAGAAGGTAGCCCGTGGGCTAGCATACAAAATTGTTCCGGATGCCATTCAACAGCTTCCCTTCGTCGCTTGTGCTTTCGTCGCGGCTCCAAGAGGATGTATATAACACCGAACCATGCCGGCCAAACCTCACGTCAGCAGGACAACACTTTTGGAACACTCCAAGCAGGTTTGAGCCAACCAACAAAATTCACTACTGTAACCAAAGACAAGCATGCGAAGCTTTAAGACCAACAGATATATAACTCGTCATCAGCTGACCCCTAAGTTTTTTGCAGGCATCAAATCAAGGTGAACGGTGGAATGCTTCGCAAAGCTCGCAAAACATACAATTCAATTGACAAGTTCTCCTGCACATGTGTCCCTTTAGCCCTTCACGATGCACCACCGAACCAATAGGGAATACATACATTCCAAGAAACAAAACAAGGCGAGCGTCTTACAGTATACAGGACCCTTCATTTGGATCCCGACAGACCACAGGCAGCCCCCGTGATTCGGAAGACCCTTCCTTAAGCGGTCGCCTCTACCCAACAATCATGCAAATGACAAAATTGGCCCGTTGGAAACCCGTTTTCCATCGTTTTCCTCTACAAACAAGCGGGTTTTCCACTTCTATGGTACATGATTCTCTGAAACAGGGTATTACTGATCCTCGTTTCAGATCAGCCACTGGCAAGCGCGGATGCTTCACCACTGACTCCACAAACGTTCCAGGGGCTGTTGGACTGGCCACCGCTGGGCTTGCTCGAAGACTCGTGGAACGTCTGGGCGTTCTTGCTGAGCTTTGAAAGGTTCGTGCTGATAGGCCCAAGAAGAGGCACAGCCTCAGTGGTCCAGTGAAATGCCCTCCAGTTTCCCCAAAACACTAATATATACATGGTGCTGTCTTTTTCCGCAAACAACCTGTTCTGCTCAGTGGATAGGTCCTGGTTTGCGATGCACTGGCAGAATCCATCTATACCTTCTGACCAAAGATGTGTTTCATTGTGTATAGGTTTGTGATTTGCATTGAATCCATGTTGATATTAGGGAACTGCCAAAGTCATGGATGTCATAGAGACCGCCAAATGGATGGGTGGCCTACCATACCATACCAATGGAAAGAAAGTGAATCCCCTCACAAGCATACTCAAATGCTGTTTCTATAAACAAGTTATGAGAAGCTTCTGCGCAAACCATACTGCCTGAACCCTGAACTTGTGTGGACCATGGATGGAGAAACACCTGATACTTATTTGTTAAGCAACAATTGCAGCAATTGCGCCATTTAATGTTCCTGGGGTGTGGATCACCACAAACCATCCCAATGTTCTTCTTGGGAGCAACATGTTTGGCTGCAATTGGATCCGCGTCCACGTGACGATTCCACCGAGGAGACCAAGGCGGACCAAGGCACCAGAAAGCTTTGCGCCATGGCGGACGCATGGCGTTTGGGCACGACTTTGGTACCCCGAAGTGCCAAGTGCCAGGGCACTCAGCAGTCGTTTGAAAAGAATGTTGGTTTAACACTGCATGATGAAGGTCTCGTTCAGGACATGGAGCCAAACAGTGTCCACATGATTTGATTTGATATTTTTGGTCTGTAACCATCGTAGCTGTGGAATCGCAAATCCACCTGATCTGACGGCAAAAACATCTCGCATGTCTTCACCTGACCCGGGCTTACACTGTGTCAAGTACACGGCCTAAAGCAAGCATCCCGACATCGTACTGATCAAAAAACTGCCTTGTACAACTAACCATTAATATATATATATAACATATATATATATATATGACACCCGGGAAGGGTATTGGCGATTCAATCTTTTTTCTGATCATCCGTTGTCCACATAATTTGATCACATTCAGCTTGAGCTGTCCATCTGCAGAATTTCATGTACAATAGCGTACTGTTTGCACTCAATGCCCTCACTTAGTTACAGGCACTTTTGTTAAGATCCTGATGATCAAAATCATCACTATGTTGAGATAAATAATTCAATGATTGTTTATTCCTGAGGATTTTACGTGGCTTGCTTAAACCTTGACAGATCATTTGCCATGGACTTGGACAACTTTCTTTGTGACTGACTTAGGCATTGACTTGGAATGGCCACAACGCGTAAGGCAAACTCTGTCTCCTTTTCAGTGTCAATTTTCTTATTTGGTTTCTTGTTAGTGATCTTCGTATTCTTCTTCCTGCTTCTTCTTCTGTTTCATGAAGCAAAACACACACAATCATATATCATTGGGCATGATCTGAAAATCTTGTATATTACATTGTATATGATTGCTTTTGTTCGCGTTGGTGCACAAAAACACAATTTCACCGCCTCACACGACAGGGAGGTCAGGAAAACCGCTGCAGGAACATGGAAACGGCTCGAAATGTTCCAACATAGTTGCTTCCCAAGCTGGAAGGTCTCCGACAACTTGATTGGAAAATCCGGTGTTGTGCACCATATGTGTACCCTTATAAGATTCTATAGGGAGGACTTTGACCGTTCTACCGCTCTGGACGAAACTTCCGAAAACCTCAGCTCCCAACTGAGCAGCAGGACACCAAAAGCTCCAGGAGCCCGTCGGCCCCATCCTCTTCCTGGAACGGCTCGATCCAACAACAGGCATTTGGTGGGTCAACATGAGTCCGAAGGTTTGACACCTACATACCTGCGAGAGGTGTGTCAACTGGGGAGAACCTCCAGGAACACTGTGTGCTTGGGAGTTGGAGGTCCTTTATTGTGATTTCACTCACAGCCACTGTCACATGAGGGTTGGTTAAACTATATACATATAACTGTATGGCCTCTCACCCCGGAAAACAATATACTACAACAACAGCAGCAGCAACAACAACAACAACTCAATTGACCAAAGAAAAGGGGTGGAGAAGTGCACCGCAAAAGTGCACTGCAAATTGCAGGACAGTAAATCCATTATACATCATGATACTGAAACCATCTGAAACCTGAAGGTACTGTAGATTAACCAACAAGGAACGTTCTCCTGCCCGAGAATGCTACATGTAGACAGAAAGGTTTCTTGGTGTCTATAGTAATTAACAAGAACACCTCGTGGATAATTTCACGTCACGAACATCTGGAGGAACCCCGAACCAAGTTGTTGACATCATGTTTAAAGTGTCCTGCATCTTGCTTGTGTGCTGACAAATCTCAAATAAGAGGGAGCTGTGGATACTTTTCCCAATATGCACTTTGAACAAGTAGTGGGCAAGTATGATCTATGGTTGCTGCCTAGTGTTGGATGGATGCATATTCCTGCCCACGCAACAACTGGTCTGGATCATGTTCCGGATTGCGGTCATTGAACCGTCGCATGAATATGTCCCTTTGACTGCCACGCCTCTTCCTCATGCTCGGGCCAAGCCGAGGATGAGGCGCTGGATAGGGCCTACCAGGCGGCAGCCGCGAGATGCAACTCAGCCCTAAGTTGTAGAAGGGGATGGATGGTTGATGTGGATTGCTTCCGGCTTCCCAAGGTCTCAAGCCCATCCTTTGCAACCCTGTGAGAAGTGATCAAAATAGATTGTCCCCCACAGGAAAATGGCATCTTCTGGTCAGGAAGACATAGCAAAAGTGTGAGCGACGTCCGTGTGTCCAACCCCTGAAACATCCTGAAACTTTGAAGCTTCAGAAATTGATGTAGTCAATGATTCTGTTCCGTGGCTATGCTTATGCTTCCACAAACCGTTGAACAAAAAAACACAACGGACGTTGACATGCTCTTGAGCAAGGAGCCGTGAAAGAATGAGAGTCGCAAAACGTTGCCATGAGGGCATCGCTGCTTCTAAAGAACAACGTCCACACCCAAGAAGAAACAATTCTGTCATCTTTCTCCGTTGTCAAACTGCCTGCTGTATTGAGTATGACTGACCGAGATAGTTCTGTGTTCGCATTGAAACTACTCCTGTTACACAGTTGGGTGTTTTTTGCCGCTTGCATACTGCTACAGCAGGATGTTGTGTACCCTGAGAAGATGGTGCCCTCGGGCCTCGGGTGCCCTCAAATCCGAAGGGAGTCCTGCTGTAAAGGCTCCAGTGATTCTTAGGCGTCCTAAAACGTCCTAAAACGCCCGCACTGCAAAGGCGCCTCTGTCGCCATCTCGATGACCCCATGCCCTGCGTCCGAAGTTGGGAACGCACCGTCCGTGGAGATCGGAGTAGAACCCTTGCTATGGCTATGACGATCCGTTTGCTGGTACCAAGAAACCCAGTCCAATAGCGCAGGGAGGAGAAGTTGTTTTGGTCCTCCTTGGGGGGCGCCAAGTCAATAGAGGGTTAAGGGGGGGGGATCCCCTGTAAAAGTTTGAGCAAAAGTGTTGGATAGGGTGTTATAAAGAATCTTACAAGAGATTTGTTGGGAGTGGTGTTGTGATTCTGGGTGATGTTGGAGGGTCCGCTCTGTGGTAGAGAGCAGTGAGATTCATGTACATAATGAGATTGTGAGGGATCGAAAGAATGGTAAGGATAAAACATGCATAATTGTTGACATCAAATGATTAACCCGTATTAACAACACTCTTGCCTGAACTGTTGGTAGTTGCAGCACTCAAAAATGGAACCCAACAACACTGGGGGGCTTTGGGGAAATGTTTTGGGACATTTCACTCGGATAAAGTCTGACAGGTTCTCGCTTTAACTTAACTGACAGGTGCTTTCGGTTAGAGCTGCTTCCATCCTGCGAGTTCTAAGTAAGTAAGCCCACACTTGGACTTGGACCACAAAAGGGTGCGTGAGGGTTAGAAAGTGCCCTGAGTTTATACCCTGACATGGCCCCAAACTGGGCGTGTAGGGTTAGGCTAAGGTTTCCCGTGGGTTGGGCCGCAAAAAGGTGTTCACACCCACTCGTAGTATACAAATGGATATTGCCACCGGAAAGCCAAGTGTCCTATGTGCCAGTACTTTGTCGCGTGCATATAGCACCGGATGTCCTCTTCATCTTATCACAGAATGATTAGTATCACACGCAAGTGCACATAGTAGCCTTTGTGAGAAAGGCGTTCTATTCTTCCTGTTGTTTGGAACAGTTCTCCGAACACCAATTGCTAAGAAGCGTTGGGGCTTTCATCTGGTGCCACAAAGACCCCAGGCTGGTAGCACCAAACCTCGTAGCAAATGCCCCAGAGTTTCTCGAAGCTCGCTGTCCTGCGAACGACCAGGCTATGAAGTTTTCTTCAAACCAGGCATGCTTTGGAGGACTGATGTTTCTGGTGCTGTTGAATCCCTTTGCTGGTGCAACAATCCCACCAACATCAATGCACAACAAACTGTCCAAACTCCTTTTTGGTGCTGATACGACTCGATGACTCCCCGGTATTGTGGCAATTATGTGACCATGGTGTCTGGGTTGCACTAAATCATCCCGGCAATGATGTATTCTTGATCCCAACCACAGGTCAACAAAAAAGGTACAGTGCTTCATCCCTCTGGTGCAGTTAAATAGCGTTTGACAAATCTGTTTGAAAGAACAACCGCTTGAACATCTTGAACCCAAATCATTACAGCACATTTGGACTTCAGCCAACATCCATGCAGCGCAGGGGCCCATGAACAACAAGAAGTCATGCTTATATGATATATAATGCATAATATATATAGAATTATATATAATTGTATGTTTTATGTAATATTGATACACATACTGTGACACTCAAATTTAGCCTCCAACTACCTATAGCTGCTGCAAATACCAGTGGGGACCTTCAGGACCACACTTTTTGCGTTTTTTTGGCCTTCCGAACTTGAACCCTTCTATATACGTCCAACAAGCAACGGGCAAGAACTGTGGTGCCGCACGTCCTCCAGAACTCCTTGCCTCTCCAAGGACTGCATCTCTCGTGCCAGCGCCTCTGCGAACGGAGTCTGCGTATTGAATTATTGGAAAGATTCATGCCTTGTCTTTTGGCCATGCCATTGGGGTAACTGGAGGCCTCTGGTTTCCAGCAGCACACAAATGGCTGTGCTCTGCATTGCTTGAGCCTGGAGGGAATTAAGAAACCAACTGAGCCACTGGCAAATGCGAAAAAACATCCTGTGTAGAGGGATCTGTCCAGGATCGATAGGTCTGACAAAGTGGTCAAGTGTGGCTCAAGGGAATCTGAGACCAACGAAGGTGAACATTGCAAACAACATCACTTCCCAAGCAACCAGTTGGCCCCTTCCTGTAGAGGATGTTCTCCTTCCGGTGGGACTACAGTACTCATGGTGACTTCAGGGAAGTGTGTACTCTTTTCAATCTTGGTGGGATAACTGCATGGAAGGACAACCTGATCCACAGCCAAGCTAGTCTGCAAGCTGCTCATCATCAGCGCTTTTTCCACCAATAACTGCATGACCTTCAGGTTTGCCATCTCACCAATTGGTATGGTGTCATGCGGGGCTCTGGTTGCAACAAAGCTGAGAACGGGCGCATTTTGAGGCTCCAAAAGCCGTGAAGCTTCTCTAAAAGGTGGTCTCGACGTCCACCGTGAGATTCATCACTAGCTTTCCCAAAACAGACTGGGATCTTGTGATCTCCCCCAAAATGTCAAACGGACACAGGATTGTTGCAAGTTGTTTGTCGTCTCTGAAAGAACTTCCTGCTTCCACGGTCTACAAACACATCCTCCTTCTGCCTTCTTCCTGGGTGCCCGAAACGCCTGTGACGCTTTGGAAACATCGTGCTGTAGTAAAGGCTCCTAGTGGATCGGACGTGGACCGTTATGAGCCTCACACCAGTTGTGTTTTCCCCTTAAACAGAAAAAACAAACTGTGTGCCGTAGTTGTAGACTTTGTTGGTTCACTGTTCAAGCGGTCCGGGAACAAGAATGAATTGTATAGATGAAAACGGATGATCACGCGCATTATATAAATGTATGACTCTGAATGAAAAATGGACACAAACACACAGCGAAATTTGCAAGCTCAGGAATGAGCATCAAGCCAAAGTGTTTGTTTCTGAAAAAGTCCTCTCCATCGATCATGGCAGACTTCTTGGCACTCCATTTGCTGGCAGCCTGCAAGATGCGTGAAGGTGTTAGGTGTTGAGTGCTTAATGCGGGTATGCTAAAGTACTTGATCACTATTGCACGTGATTATATGTATACGTGTCAATAGAATCGAGAAAGCTGCATGTAACAATGCAGAAAATAACAACACAATAAAACAATGACAAAAGACGCAACCACAGCTGCATTTTGTAGAACTTGATATCATAGAAAAACCTACCATCTCCCACACCAAGCCATGTTTGCCATTTGCTGCTGATTGTCCAGGCACGAGACCTGTGCCATCAACTGGGACTCAAGCAGTTGCACCACCAGAATAGAAACAACATGTGTTTCAGCAAATGACTTGTGAGCATTAACACCTCTACCGCCTCTACCTCCCTACCTTAACCTTCGAAGAAGTCACCGAACGAACTCCTATCCAAGAAAGTATTTGTCATTGTCATTGTCATGACAATGACTCAATATCATGACTCAATGACAAAAGATGACAAAAGTCTTTTGGTCATCTTATGTCATTGTCATTGGAGGGACAAACTCCGATGCCGAACTTGCTGGCGATTCCTCGCACCTGCCCCGCCTCTCGCAGGGAGGACGCAGCCCGATGCACTCCCAAAAGGGATGTCCGTGACCTAAAAGGCATTTTTGCAGACCGGACCGAATGAGAAAAACACCTCCCGGTGGGATAGTACCACAAACGGCTGAAGGTAGAATATTCCGGAATTCGATGGCCTAAAAGAAAGGGGAGGGAGGGGAAAAGTTAATATGTGTGCATATGATTGCATATGTATGCCATGGCCATCTCCACCACATGAGAGTGCAAAGTGTTTAAAGTAGTCAAGGACCTCTGAATCAAATCCAATGATAAGGAAAAAAAAAACCCTCAACACAAAAAGGAATGGTTGTTTACCTGGTTGGTGTCTATCTGTTCTCCTTCAGGTTTACCACCCAATGTCTGCCAGGTTCGGTCATTACATTCACATCAAGGGGTGAATGATGGTGAATGAGTTCCCCACAGATCCTCTGTGGAATCAGGGATTTGCCCTACATCACACACACAATCCATCAACCACACACACTCTACACACTACAGACTCTGTGAAATGTCTAAGCAGTTCTTGACCAAGCGATCTAACATACACAAACGTGAATGGGACCATAGGTCACATCAAAACAGAATGAGATGAGAAGAACATTGTTGGTCTTGGAAGACCTGTGTGTGCTTACACTTTTTCACAACCAACAAACCTAAAACATCACCTGAAGGGACGATGGGACATGGTCCTGTAGGTGCAGCTAAGTGACGAACTGCTATCCGCCTGCCAGGGCATCCCGTTTTGGATGTTGGACATGGTCACCTCCAAAGAGTAAAAATCCGCAAGGCTCCCTGAATCACTGATAAAGGGTTTCTCACTTTGTTGCCAGGCAGCTAGGAGCAATCTCGTGGACCCAGAATTTCCACCTTATGAATCCTTCTTGGATCCTTCGGGACCACTTCAATCACAAAGCCATTCTTGCAAAGGTAACCAGGTAGGCATGCTTTGGCTCGCCCAAAGGTACCACATGACGTGCGACCAGTTTGCAAACTCGCGTGCGTGTGAAACTGAAGAAGGAAAGCATAAGTAAGTGGAAGTGAACAGAAGTCTCATGTCTTCAATTGAACCCAAACGTTGACTTCCAGAGCAAATATATACTTATCCAGAAATACGGTCTGACAATTGCAACCCAATCAAACACGATCTTAGGATTAAACGTCTCAAGCAATCCACCTCACTGAAGCTCAGCGCGTCAGTGCGCTACAGTTTCTCCGTTCCAGTGCGCGGCCGCGGGCCTCCTCGCAGGATTTGAGAGCCTCTGCCTCCAAGTACCAGGCCTGGCAGGAAGACCGGCAGCATGTGTAACAGCGGGAATCACCACAGCGAGCTGAAACACTTAGAGTTGCAATGGCACCTTCAATGGGAGTCCTGCGACCACTGGTCTGTTGCGACCCCAAATAAGGCACTCTCTTCGCATGTCAATCAACAGTTGGATTGAAATATATATATATATACGGCTGCAGTTAAGCTGCTTCGGCCACCAAGCTGAACCCACCACCTCCTTTACCTATATATATATATATACAGTATATAGCTTGACGTGTTTTCAACATGCCAAGACCACGATTTCTGGGGCAAATCGAAACCTTGATGTTTACCAACAAGTACAATATATATATATATATTATATAATCATTGGCTGGCAGGTGAAACATGAAAAAAGGACTTTGCAATTTGTGTCAACTACGCCAAAAGGGATCAACAAACAAGAAACAGGATAAGCAAAACTGGGTGTGTTTGTGTGTGCTAAGTGCTAACCTCAAAAAGCACACAAGGCGCATTGGATAATCACTTCGACCTGCCACTGTTTACATGTAGGTGCAAAACCAACAAATACAGCGGCTTTTGACGACTTCCCGAGGTCCCCAAATGCGGAGCCACCTGCACTTCGCCCGCGGTCTTGGAGCGTGTCTTCTGCAGCAGCCGGGCCAATGGCTGACAGGCGTCGCTGAGGCGGTTTAGAGCCTGGCAAAAAGCAAAGTGGAAAAGGGAGCGCCCAGGAGGAAAGGTTTGGGGATCCGGGATGAGGTTTTCCCGATGCAGTGATTAACACATAGAAAAGGCGTTCATGATTGTTGAGGGGATTGAATAGATCTGAATCTATACTATCTATTTTGAGCTTCACTGCACAAGTAGCGTCAAGTAGCTTTTGGCACCAGGAGTTCATAGTCTTTTGGACCAATCCAATTGCTCGTGGTCTTCCGCAAAATCGGGATGTTCAGCTCAAGAAGCTCGAAGAAGTCTGGAACAAAACATGCCAAACTTCCTCAATAATCCAAGGGAACCACTGTCACTAATTGATCTCCCCATTCTGAAACCAATCAACTACAACCCCCAACCAAGGAAGGATGGAAGGAAGGAAGGAAGGGACATCCTCGCCGCTAATAACATTCCCCCATTTTGGCGAGACATTGGCCACCCTCCAGGGTCACTTCCGGCAAAGTGACCGGCGCACCCCACCACAACAGTCAAAACAAGAAACATCATCCAGTTCCGAGTAAGACAAGTTGATGAAGTTCTTTTGAGAGGTACCAAATTATTGTAGATTTCGATCAATGGGCTTAAACACTGGTTTTAAAACTATGAAACACCAAAACTCATTGCTTGGAAATAATGATATTTCAACTTTAATACCACGAGTACCATATACTACCGTCATATCATGTAGTATCCCTTTATAAAAGCTCCTCGTTAGAGGTTTATAAGGTAACATACCTGTTAAACTCACTATCTCAAACATCTCTTCACTCTTCCCTGCTCGGCTCTGCGCCTTCAACGCCTTGGCCAAACGGACTGCTGCCTTCACGTGCTGCGGATCGAGCTCCAAGCAGCGCTTGCTGTCTTCGGCCGAGTCTTCGAAGCGCCTGAGACGACGCCAAACGACTTTGGGATGACCTCTCAAAGTCTCGAAGTCACAAGGTCGAATGCTTGGAGGTCAGTCTTGGCCCAGTTGAAGAGGTCAGTCTTGTGACAATTCTATTATTTTTCATGCAGTAGAAAAGTCTGAGTGGCAAAACGCACACGCACCAAAGTCTGAAAACCCCCTGTAGGTGACTCATACTATGATGATGACAGTGCTTCTATTTTGGCTTGGGCCAGTTAGTTTCCCTGCTATACTGGATTTGGGTATATAGATAGTTTGGACCCACACTCAAATGTTCCCTATTGTTGTCTTCACATCACTTGTTCATAGGCGTGAAGACCACCACTGCTACCACCAAACTGCAATGGTCAATCACCTGAGTCGGGGAATCATAGGGGTCCTTTGTTGGAAATACTTTCCTTGTCTAGGATGGTTCTATATATTGCTTCTATGTTTTTCCTCTTCAGGTACCTCAGTCAAAGCTGAGGTGAAGGTATTGAATGCTCCTGTTTTTCTCTCTATTCAGGCCTTCAGGATCAGTGTCTCTGGTGCTGATATTTGTTTTTTTTCCAAAATTGGTCTTGCAGCCCACCAGCTTATTTATTTATATATATATAGTTATATATGTACCCAACAAAAAACAAGGTGAGCCCGCGGACCCAAAGGCAAAAAGAAGCGCACAGCCCAGGAAAAATATACAAACACACATTAGCAGGCCAAAACGAAGCATCAGCCCCCTCCAGGCTTCGTGGCAACCATGATATTTCAAGCATCGCGGTTCTGGTGCACATCCGTCCACCCCTGTCTGCCATATACACCCCCGTCCACCCCTTGGTCAGCTTTGGAAGCCCTCCAAAACGATCATCAAGCGATTGCAACATGGCTTCTGACAACCGTTCCAGGAAGCATGGAGCAGCATCAGCCCCCTCCATGGTTCCTTCCAACCATCCAATTTCACGCATTGCCGCTTTTGGCACGCAACAATGCTGCCGTGTTGGCCATGACTTGACTGTCTGGCACATGCATTCATTGTGCACATTTTGGACACCCAACACCATCGTATCAGCCCCGCAACACAGCTCCACTCACCTCCAACGCGCTTCCGCGAAGCATGGAGCAGCACTACCCCCACCCATGCTTCGTTCTACTTGTGCACTGACTCGGAGCAGCCTGCAATGATGCTTGTGGTGCAACTCCCCGTCCCCACCCATGCGCCTCGCTCCCTCCCGTCTCGCTCTCCTCCATCTTCCCTCCCCAGCCCCGTCCCCATCCATGCACCTCCCGTCTCGCTCCCCTCCATCTTCCCTCCCCAGCCCCGTCCCACCCATGCGCCTCCCGTCTCGCTCCCCTCCATCTTCCCTCCCCAGCCCCGTCCACACCCATGAGCAATGCACCTCTCGCTCCCCTCCATCTTCCCTCCTCAGCCGTCCCTACCCATGCGCCTCCCGTCTCGCTCCCCTCCATCTTCCCTCCCCAGCCCCGTCCCCACCCATGCGCCTCCTGTCTCGCTCCCCCTC